CCCCTGGGGGGTGATTTCTCGCTTTCTATCTCTATCTTTCTCTGTCTTTCTGGCGAGCGGATGCACCCTATAGCAAAAACCTCTCCAAACAAACAAACAAACAAAAAACACATCTGTAGCATCCTATTTACAGCATAACAATTATTTATTTACAATTCCTTTTCCTCCACCATCTATTCCTCTTTCTGGGTATCTTCCACACTAGAACCTGTCTTTGAACTTCCCCTAGTATGCCCCCATGTAGCTAGTAGGTGCTCAAAAAAATCTTATTGAATGAACAGTTTGTGTTGAAGTTTCATGAATAATTCTTTTTTTTTCCTACAGTCAAAGATCAAGAGTTAAAGGTTATCTGAGATTAAAAATGACTTATTTACCTAAAACCAGTGGCTCAGAAGAAGATAACACAGAACAGGCTGAGGAATTAGAGGTGAGATTTTATATTTTGTTAAACTAAGAAGAAAGTGTGCAAGTTTTTCTGTTTTACTACACTCTGAAGGAAAAGAGCTTTATCCAATGAAGTTAATATGTGCAATAAAAATGATTTACCTGGATGTTTATTTCACCCAAGCATTTATTTATTAACAATTTCCTTTCTCCAAGGATATTTCTGTAGAATTCATGGTCACTATTGATTGCCTTCTTAAAGGCTAGGGAGTGAAGAATCCAATGTTTATAAATAAAAACATTTCTTTTAAGGACATCATTAACTCTTCCTAGTTTTTCAAAGTTTTCTGAAACCATGTCACACTCTCCACTAGAGCAAGAACACAATACACTATTATTTATAAGTTAAATATGTGGACGTTTCGAGAAGAATCCACTGATTAGAAACTAAATATGTGGACATTTTGAGAAGAGTCCACTGATTAGAAACTCTTTTATGAAATGTAATTCCTGTTGCTTTCCCTCATGGGACAGTAGGGGACCTCATAGGAAAGGAGAAGAATGAGAGAGAGAAATAGAAAACTCAAATCCTCTCATACAAAGTCATGTTGCATGGGGACAAGTAGAATTTAAGTTCTCACGGATGACAGGACGAGAGGAGTGTCTATGTCAAGTTTTGGGGAAGACCTCCATGCATCTGGCGTGAGTGAAGAGGAGGCAGAGTGGGTGTTTGGAATAGAACAGGACAGGGACTCGGGAGCTGGGACCACGGCTGCAAGCTCTGCTGCTCGCCATTCTCATGATCTTGTGTGGGTCTGGCCCTTGGGCTTCTCGTTTGCAGTGACAGGGTTGTACCAATGACCTCTGTGGTTTCTTCCAGCAGAAAAACTAATGGTTTGAAAGGGGACAAAAAACATCTGCTCCTTGAGGTCCCTTTTCTTTTTTTTCTTTTTTTTTTTTGAGAGGTTTTTGCCATAGGGCGCATGTGCTTGCCAAAAAGACAGACAGAGACAGAGAGACAGAAAGCGAGAAATCACCCCCCAGGGGGGATGGCCACACCGCAGTCCCTTCTCCTCCATTCTGCCCTCAGGATCTTGGGCACGCACGCACACTCGCCCGGCATGAGTTTTAAGCCATCGGGTCTGGGACTCGAACCGCGGTCAACCACATGGGAGTCCAGCGACATAGCCATCACACCAACTGCTGGCCCCAAGGTTCCCTTTCAAGGCACTTTTCCATCAAAAGGTAGCAGCATTTATTCAAAAGCATTTACTGACAAGCACAGCATGTTGTTCTGGAGGGTTCTTTTTAGTATGTGCCTTCCTCAGCTGTCTTATCTCACCACTTCGACCTCCACGAGGACTGTGAAACTGAGGGACCTTCTCACGAGCGGGGCTCCACCTCCCATGTGCCGTAGAAAGAAACCTTTAGAACAGGCAGTGAATTTGCAACAAAGCTTTGTGGGGATTTTTAAATGCAGTGGTGGGATTTTGCTTTGTGGGGAGGAAATCTATAATAGATGGAAACTACCTTTTTTTCCCCCTTCAGATCATAGACTATGACTAGCCCTCCACCAGTTTGTCCGTTAAAGAATTCGTCTTCTCCGAAGTCTATAGTCCCTTGCATCATTACCCTTTTTTCATATTTCTTTCTCTGCTTTTTCATTTCAGAATCATTTTTTAAGTTTTTGAGATATTTACTGGGTAGACATTTCATCACCTGGCATTTGGGGGCCCAGGGTATCTTCCTAGTGAAATTCTGTTTGAAATGAAAACTGTCTGCTGTAAAGAAAGAAAACTCTTTATTTAGTAACTTTTGAAAACTTAACAGTGTTTCAGTATTTAATACCCCCTCCCCCCAGCATTTCGCCCACACATGTATCACTCTTACCTTGTTCACAGTTCAGTGTCTGTGGGGAGAGCTGCTTCGCTTCGTTCTGTGGTCTCAAGTCTGGATGTCTGAATTCCCTCAGAATGCACCTTATAATTTCAGGAGATGTAAGCATGTAGGAGTTTATTTATGAAAGGCCCCAGGAATTCAAACACGTGTCTGGGCTTATTTGTCTTCTGTGTAGCTAATGACCAGAGAATTCTTGCCTACTCCTTTGACAACTTGAGTTTGCAACTGGACATATAACATTACTATTTAAGGAAAACAATTGTAATCTTGAAAAGAGGCTTACACTTAGGCAGTTTGTTTTTCTCAATCAATTGTAGCCATAACTGATAATTATATACTATGTGATTTTTGTATCCCTTGTAACTGTTGGTTAGTTGTACGTGTTTTCCAAGATTAACAGATAATATTTGTTGTAGCTCTAAATGCTTTCATTGTGAGCCTGTTTGCATTAAATTGGGAGCATTTGCAGCTTAAACTTTGAGTTTAGTAATTAAATAAGGTTTATTGATACTCAGAAAATTATTTTATGAAAAATAGTAGCTGATATGTATTTAATAGGGAGGCATTCCATCCAGAATATGAAAACTCAGTCTTTTTAAACAATGTTCTATTGTACACTTGTACTTCTACAAACTCGAAAACAGGCCAGCAGCTGGAAAAATAGGCCAGGCGCGTGTGTGAGTGTGTGCCCCAAATCCTAAAAGGACAGAGAAATAAAGGAAAGGGATTGCAACAGACCATGCCCCATTGCGGATACTTTCTCCTCCTTCCTCTCTGTTTCACTGTCTTTCTTTGTGAGCACACATGGCCTCTGGCGATTAAAGAAAAAAGGAGAAAAGAAAAAAAAAAGAAAGAAATAAACTAAAAAGGGACTTGACTTAATTAATTGGTTTTTGTTTCTCAAATTTACTTGGGTAACATAAATAAAATAAGCAGATCTCTTAAAGAGAAATCTTTAAGATGCTTTTATAGAAATATTCTTTTGTTGCTATTTTCCTAGCTCTGAATATTTTTATAATTGTTTTTGGAAGTAGTGAGAACATTTTAGTTAACAGATTTTATTACTCTTGCAGGAAAATAATCAGTAATTATATTTAACAAAACAATCTTTTTTTTTTTTTTTTCCTGTAGGATGTGTGTGTCACTGGAAAGAGAGAGAGAGAGAGAAAGCGAGAAAAAAATCCCCTCTGGGGGATGGCCATGCTGCAATCCCTTCTCCTCCGGGATTTTGGGCAGGCACACACACATGACTGGCATGATTTTCAAGCTGCCTGGGTCTGGGACTCAAACCACGGAGTTGGCCATGTGGGATCCAGCCACATTAACCTCATCATTGCCCGCTGGCTCCTAACAAAACCACCTGTTTTTTTTTTTTTTTTTTTGAAGGCTTTTTTTCTCAGGGG